AATTAAAATTTTATACTATTTATTTAAGAATTTTAAAGTATATATCATTTAAAAATAATTAAATATATCTAATTTTATAAATAAAACTAAATAATCTAATTAATTTAAAATTTTACATACATAACTTAAGTAATACACATACAAAATTAACAATTGATATAAAAATTAATATAAATTATAACATGAACTAATAAATAATTTACACAAAAATTTTAACTTTTTGCGTCACTTGGATTTTTGGCTCCATCCTGGATATAGCAGTATATAACATCAGAAGGTACAATCCATTTCTCTGCTCAACACCTTCATTCTTCAGCAATATACCAACCCAGACAGACCGTCGGGATCACCTCGAAAGATGTCGGCATCATCTGCAGCACGACATCTCCTGGTTTTGGATTCCTTTGCTATCTTGGTGCAGCTCCTTTGCGTTGCTAATGCTCAAAATCAATCTCAGACCACAGACCCTGATGAAGGTACGCCTTTCTTGTATTTTAGTCAATGTATTTTTTGGTTTGTAAAGGATCGACATGCCTTCCAGAGATTTGAATTTCTAATGTCGAGCCAAATAAGGTTATTTTACTTAGCGAGACAATTAGGGAAGGAAAATTAGTAGTATATTTTCTTGTTTAATACATCTTTTGAAACTTATTTGGTTTAATCACTAGAATATAATATAAATATAATTAATTTATTTGATTTTTGTATATATATATGATTATATTTTTAAATTTATTTATCTTTAATGTTCAATAAATAGAAGTAGAGCTATGTTATGGCGCCTGTTATTATTTTTATTGGACTATTAAAATTGTTAAATTTTTATTTTAATTTTATTATTAAAAATAATTAATAATTAACAAGATAAATAATATTTATTATTTACTAAATTAATTTATAAATAAATATTTATAAATATTATAACTAATTATTTAAAAAAAATTATAAATTAATAAAAGTATTAATTAATCGACTTAAAAAAAGGCCAGTGGGCATAACCTTCTAGAAGTAGGGTCCCGTCTTCTATGTTTTTATGTAAAATATATTGTAGATGGCGGTACCTGATCTTTCAAGTAGTCAACAATAAGGTCCTCAACCTCCAAAGACTAAAAGTTGGGTCCACTTGATTCTATTCTTCTTCTTCGCATAAGATCCAATTTGGTCCAAATGGAGTTGCGTGTGAGAACTTATTTCCATCCCTGTTATAGCTTTCACTATATAAAAATGAAAAAACAAACTTCGGTTGAGAATATGATAAAAATGTAGTGAGAATTGAGAAAGGAGATTAAAGAGATAAATTTTGAAAAAAAAAATGATACAAATGGTAATAACTGTTTTATTTGCAATAGTTGATATAATAAATGTACTCTATGGGAATGTTTGAGTGTAATTTGCATGTAATCTTGATTTAAAGAATGAACTTACCCAATTCTTAACCTTATGTTTAGGTAGAGGGGAATGGAAATGAGGGGACTTATATCCTT